ATGTAGGCATGCATCAAAGGGATTTACAGCAAGAACTATATAACATGTCATGTATTCAACAACAACTATAGGATGAGTGGTAATAAAGCAGTGACAACTGGAGGAAGTCAAATGTCAAAGAGGTAGAAAATATACATGGCTGGAATGCTCTGCTAAGTTGTTGCTATCAGTTCATTGTATGCAGATGGGATGAGATATCCTTCATCTTTGTTAATGAGGGTTTTGTGTCTGCGGATTTGAACTGCTTAATCCATGTTGATGTATATATAAGTCTGCTACAGCACCTCAGTCTCACTTGACAACGGTATAAGAATCTATACTGAAACGCCGCATCCTATATAATAAAGCCGTTGTCATCCATGAAGCGAAAATGTGTTGAAGAACGATATGAATGTAAGTCACTGACGTGAGGTGACGTGAGGTGTGCAAATCATATGCGTTTAATTCGTGATTGGAATATTTTTTATTGTATGTTTCCTTTCACACTCGTATTACGGTGGGCAGACAATAAGCCCACTGGGATAAAAACCCTCGGACAAAATCCCCTAGGCTAAATGCCCCAGGACAAAAAGCCCTGGCAAATTTCAACCCATAGAATAAAACACCCTCGGTGTATATTTTGAGTTGACAGGTGATAACATGATGTTTTCGAAGCAATTCCTCCCACTGCTGATAGTTGTTACAGGCTCCTCAGTGACGATGTTGTTATTTAAACAATGGAATGAAGTCCGCTAAATGTTGTTTCAGAGAACTGGCTTAAATTGGTCACTTCCTCTTATGTTTGATTTCGTTGGGCAGGTACTCATTGTGGTATGTCAATGAACATGGTGTTTATTAAGATGGTCTATTAAGATGGTCAGCTCTATTATTATTTAAATAAATCGCTGATTTCCTGCTACCTTCTTTAAAGTTTGGAATCCAGCGGCCGGCTATTGGTGACGGTGTTCCCAGCATTCGCTTTTGACTGGTATAGGACACAATATTAGACTGGTATAGGACACAATATTAGACTGGTATAGGACACAATATTAGACTGGTATGAACTGTAGCACAAGTTACAACTGCACAACTGCATTATCTGCATGGTGATTTACATTTGTGAAGTATGTGCTATTCCCTCGCGTCATGGGTTTCCGTGGTATTAAGAAATTTACGACTATGAATATGATCGCTCATATTGCCAGTCATATAAACATAATATAGTATTAGACGACATACCTTTGTATCATTTAATGTCAATAAAACACTCTTTGTCATTCTGAAGTTCATTGTTGTCGGACGACAGGCGGCCATTGTGCACTTCAGATCAAATTACGAGGCACACAGCACATGTCACAATCTTACACATTGTCAACAGACGATCCGGGGTGTCAATGTAGGTTTACATTAATATCGAAGTTGTTAAATTGTAATACAGTTAACGATTTTTGTAGAATTAACACAATAGTCACATTCCTTCGGCATAAATAGACATAAAAAGTTGCATTAGGTTTAATAGCAGATGACTGTACGTACGCAAATTGATGAAAGCCTGAACATTTTTTGCTCAGAGCTGTGCCGATCAACTGATGAACGTAAACAATCGATAGGTGGCGCGATTTGGCGAGTGGCTCGTGAGAAATTATGTCATTAGAAAATACCAAGGGAAACATAAGTACGACGGAATCATATGACGGCATGGTTACATATGCTATTTAATGTTATAAAATATATTGTATTGATGTGGGAATGAAAAAAAGATTTGTTGGTATTCCTATTACATCTCTTCATTGAGGACCTTTTGTCCTACCGTTGAGGGGCTTTTGTCACCGGGGCATTTAGCCTAGGGGTGTTCTGTCTGAGGTGTTATGTCCTTGTGGGCCTATTGTCCTACCACCACGTATTACAACACAAATCATAAAATACATAAGATCTATATTATGATCTCGGTAGCAACAGCATGGAGAGTGTTGTTCAGTGACAAAACAATGTGAAAATACATCGAGGACACTTACGCAATGGATTGATAATATATCTAAACGATATCAAATACAGAACATCATATAACATATAGTGTAGTAGTTCTGTACTAAGCATAATGCTTCAAGGGGAGTGTGCTGCTTAAAAACTAAATCCATATCTACATCTATTAGCCATTGTCAGACAGGCTTTGTCGCCACTGTAGTAGTCAGGCTGTCGAAGACGAAGTCCATTTCTTAGTTAGCTGTCCTTATTATTCTGATCTTCGGTATGATCTGTTTTAGAAAAACTAGTATCTTGTACCCAAATTTTGCTCAGTTATCCAACACTGAACAAGTTACACTCCTCTTACAAACATAAATTATTGTTAATCCACTGGCCGCTTTAGTTAGCCGTATGTACCGGCGTAAGCTATCATCCCTATAAATTTCTTTCTTTTTCCTTAGGTCTTTCATATGAGTGATACTCCTTAATGTTTTAATCTTATATTTTATACATTTTATGCACATATTGTCTAGTGTGTCTCATTGGCCATCTGGCCTGGTGTCTGTTTTTTTCTATGTGTTTTTACCGTTGCCATTTTTTGACATGTACATTCACGTGACACAAAAATAAACTATTTTGTCTTGCCTGTCTATAAATATTTTAACTACCAGTCCTACGTTCATTGAAATATATTTGGACTTTGGACCGTAGCCTGGGATGTTGATACGCTTTACAACAGATTACGTGAACACCCAGTGGGGCGTGGAGGGAGGTGTGGGTGGTCGTGTACACCATTGTGTTTGTTTTGCAACGCCAATAACCTTTCTAAAAAAAAAATGGTGTGTGTATGGTGGAGTGTGCAGATTAGCCAAGAAGAACGCGTTGTTCATCCTGCAAGACCGTTCAGGCAGAAGTCGGCAAATCACAGATACATGTTATTGGGGAGTACTTGATAACTGAAGCAACGTTTCTGTGTAGGTTCTCACACCATGTTCAAGCTAACGGTGACAAAAACCAAGTGATTAGAATGATCGAATGCTGTGACAAACATCGTGTACTTGAATAACAAGGGGTAGATAATTGGACGAGGCCAGGTGGGAAGTAAGAACAATAAATAGCACAGCCATGAAGCCGATAAGCAGGACGGATTAAGTTGTAAAACAGTCATAAAAAACGGGTGCTGATTGATAAAGTCTATATAGCGTGGTCAGCCATTCGTAGGCTATGGTATGTAGTACCCTTCGTCAGTCACTACATTCGCAGCGCTCGTTACACGTTGCTTTATGCAATGAACAAGAAGTTGCTATTAACAAAATGATTAAGAAGCCGCATGCTAGAATGCCAATAGAGAGAGAGAGTTTTATTCAGTAAAGGGGCCACAGGCCCATTATACATCAGGTGTACAGAATATACAATTATTAGAGCACCGTACAACATCATGAGAGCTGCACAATTATACATTTGTGGGGTACGGAGGCTGAAATAAATTTATTTCGTTTTTCATGGCAAAAATAGATATTTTGCAAGACAATTTATAGTATAAGTATTCTTTGTTGTAAAACAACTGGGCTAATTTCACTTCAGATGGATATATGTGATAATATTTAGGGAGGATATCATTTCTTAATTTCCCATAAAAAGGGCATTCCAGGCAAAAGTGATATTCATTTTCTATGTTAGGTATGATACAAAGCGGGCACAGGCGATCCTCCCTTTTAAGACCTAAATGTCTACCGTACTCTATCATCAAATTGTGGTTTGAGCAACAGGAAATCTACTTAAGAAGATTCGAAACTGTTTTACACTAACACTATCGATATAGAACTCGAAAGCTATACCTTCTTTGAGCCTGCGATAAAATCCAATTTCGAAACAAGTATGATACGAGATGACCACAACTGGTTATCTATATCAATACATCTTTGCTTAAATAATGATATGAAGGTAGAGATATTTCCAACACTTTGACTGGCCCACACATTGCAAAAACCATAACTGTACAAAGAGATTTCACCTTAAAAAGCCCAACAATCTATACCTTTTCAGCAAGACAATACTGATACTCATATACCTTATTTAAGATTACATTCTCAACTTGAGACAGGAGGCGAACCCAATATTTAACAATCTTAATGTACTGATTTACCTTTAATGAATGACGACCAATCTCAGCACGCGCTGCAATATTTGGCGTGTATCTTGAGAGACCCAAAACCTGTTTACAGAACCTATCGTGTACATTCAATACAGATGGCGACGGGTGGAAACCCCAGACTTCACTTCCGTATAGTAACAATGGCAGAACCTTGACATCAAATATGTGGAGCAAAACATTAATTGGTAGATTATAAAAATTCTTAACCGATGATTTGAAAATATTCAACACCTTCCATGCTTGGTCAGCCAAAGTTTTCTGTGTAATATACCATGATCCAGAGGAAGAGAAGTGAACACCCAAGTATTTATATGATGCGACAATTTCTCAAGCAACTGTCCATTCAAATGGAACTTTTCATAATGTCTTTAAGGCTTAAGGCTTGTTTATACGGCGAAAAATATACACATGTGCAAATTTGCATACATGAGTAAATTTACATAGGGAGTGTAATTTGCTAGGGTGACCAATTTGCTATGCGTTCATACGGACTTTAGGCAAAGCGGTAGTAAATCTTGATAATAGTTCATTTCTGCACTAGCAATGGATGGCGTAAGACGTGCGATAACAAGAAGGTATAGGCATTTCCCATATTACATCAGTGTTGGTCTGATACTGGGATGTTCCAATGATCGAACTTCTAGAAGAAAGCCAAGATCAAGTCATTGGTATACGGAAGTTGTTGGCAAACATTTCACTGATGCCGAATGGTTAGAAAATTTTAGAATGCGAAGAGAAACGTATGAATTGATCTGTACTCGACTAAACGATGAGCTCTCTCCTAAAAGGTTGCTATAACAATCTATTGGATGGCTTCCTCCGCAGAATATAGAACTGTGGCCAACCTTTTGGTGTCGGGAAGGCAACCGTATGTATCTGCGTCGATCAAGTGTGCGAAGCCATCATGAAACTTCTCCTGACTGAATACGTCAGGTTCCCCCAGGGAGACGCATTGAAGGATGTTATCAGGGGCTATGAGGAGCGTTGGGGATTTCCAAACTGTGTAGGATCTATAGATGGCAGTCACATCCCTATCATAGCTCCTAAATATTCACACGGTGACTACCTGAACAGGAAAGGTTTCTATTCTCTTATCCTTCAAGGGGTATGTGACCACAACCAGATGTTTACAAACATCAATATTGGCTGGCCAGGCTGAGTGCATGACGCCCGTGTCTTGAGTGAACTCAGTCATTAATTTCCTTGGTGATGATGGTTCTCTCTTTACCAAACTGGTTGAAGAACATTGGAAATACACAGATGCCCTTGGTGCTCCTTGGTGATGCAGCATACCCCTTAAAGTCATGGTTATTGAAGCCCTACACTGGCAGAGCTAACCTCACTCCAGCTCAGAGTACCTTCAACTATCGACTCAGCCGAGCCAGGATGACGATTGAAAACGCGTTTGGTCGCTTGAAGGGACGCTGGCGGTGTTTGCAGAAGAGGATGGACGTTGACGTCGAATTTGCCTGCACGGTAATTACATGCTGTGTTGTCCTCCACAACATTTGCGAGAGTGTACGTGACCTCTACAGGGAGGATTGGGACACCGAAGAAGACGAAGAAGAAAATGACTACCAACTGGATGTACAGGATGGGGGCGACGAAGGGATCCAATGTGCGAAAGCTCTGCGTGATGAAATCGCGCTGGCTTTCTGCAACGATGTGTTTTAAAGACATTATTCATTTGTGAAGACATTTACTTTGAGTAAACCATGTATAGTTCATATTGGTGATTATTGTAAACATTTAAACTTGTACATGCACGTGTTTCAAAATTCAAATTAAAGTATTTTGTGAAGATGTAAGCAATCCTTTCTTTTATGTCAACACATCAATACAATATTGCAACACATTGACCATAACCTCAGAGAACAATTTGACATGACGTTTTGCATTAGCTATAATACACACTTTCGATAGCCTCAAAACCAGGATCATGATTTTCGAAACGGTAAGATACGCAAACATTTGACGTTATTAGTGAATGACAAGTCATGGTTTCAACAGCATTATCCTCAAAGCTGTAAGGATAATTACGAGAGCTTTCAGTAATTATTCAAAGCTGGTAACAGAGGGTGAAAACCATGCTTTTTCTTCTTTTCGGAAAAAGTGAAATGTGCACTAAATCTAAAAATCCTTTATTCATAAGAGAACATGAATTATTACAAGGCTTATATCTAGATGCTGTCTAGATTGCTCAAATGAACATTGTGATTACAGCAGCACTAAGAATATGGCTGGACAAACACCAGAACGGAAACGTCTCAAGACACACACTGGAACTAACTCGAAGGATGAAATGGAAACCAAACGCCAATGAACTTCATGGCGGTTGATGAGAAAAACAGAATTGAGCAATAGTTAAAATAGTCATGAATGTATCATTTATAGTCTGGTGTCATTCATGAAGTCTACAAATTGTAGAAACTTGTTCCGTCTTCAGTATCAGCTATCCAAGAATCGTCATTTGAAGATTGTTGGTTGACTGTCGAGGAATAGCGTGATGAAGGGCCCGGACCTCTTACCGATTCACCTCCATCATACTGACCTGTACGACCCGTGCTGTATGGGACAGGTGGGGCTGTTGTCATGTCCCCGTACAGCTCTCATAATCATATTCATCATGTTGAACTGGTGCTGTCTCTCTTCACGCTTCTGTCTTTCATCTGATTCGATCTTGGCTTTCTGACATCAAGCTTTGGCGTTCAAGTTCTATTTTCTGGCGTTCAAGGTCAAGAACCTTATCATCAGCTCTCTCGTTTGCTGCACTAAATCCATCCATCACAGATTTCAGTGCTACTTCCATCCTCGTCTTCCGAGCTCTTTCTTCTCGCTTTTCTTCTTTTCATTTTCCCCTCCAGTGGATTCCTTTCTTTTTTATTCCTCGTCATTCCAAGCGGAACCGCGTCTTTTGGCACCGCGAGTTTCTTTCCGGTTCGCCATTGTCGTGTGTCTGTTTTTAATGGAAGCTAGACATCAACTGACAGATATGTGACCAATAAGGCGCGTAAAGTTTAGGCGGGAAACTACCAAAATAGCCATTATGAAATCGAGCGGGAAAAATACTCACCCTGAGTAAATTTGCTATGCGTTTATACGACCAGATTTGCTTAGGGTAGCAAAAAATAAGCATTTACTCACCGGTAGTAAAACATTTGCACCTGGTCTAGGCCAGGAGTATTTTTGCTTGGGGTAGTAAAATTTGCATATGTGTAATTGCGTTTATACGACCAAATATACTCATGTAAGCAAATTTACACATATGCAAAAAATATACACATGTGCAAATGTCGCCGTATAAACAGGCCTTTAGTCGACCGGCCTTCCTGAATACAATAACTTTACTTTTTATCAAGATTTATTTTCAATTTCCACTTGTTACAATACGAAACTAAGCTTGTCTAGCCTCTTTTGCAGACCTATAACTGTAAAGTCAAAAGCGCAATATCATCAGCAAACAATAGGATGAACAGCTCAACTAAGTCTAGATTGATACCCCTCTGACCATCAGCAGATAGACAATCAACAATATCGTTGACAAAGAAGGAAAAGAGAAAGGGAGATAACTGGCATCCCTGACGAACTCCTGATAAACAATCAAAAAACGGTGTGTAACCATCTCTCATCGACACACAAGCTTTAACATTTTGGTACATATTTTTCAATAGCCTGTAGGTATTACCTTTCACGTTGCCAAGCCACAGTTTGTAAAGGAGACCACACCTATCGACTGAGTCAAAAGCGGCCTTCAAGTCAATAAATGCACAATAGAGGCGACCTTTGTAAAGTGAAAGATATTTATCAATTATAGCATTAAGAATGAATATATTATCATGTGTTTGGAAACTATACCTGAACCCAGCTTGTTCGTCAACGAAGAATTCTTCCCTTTCAGCCCAAGAGTTTAACCTGTTGTTGATAATTTTACAAAATATTTTACCAGTTACTTCAAGCAGTGTAATAGGTCTGTAATTCCCAGGGCAATCAGTTTTACCTTTCTTATACAAAGGAATTATAACTCCATACGTCCACTGAGATGGATAAATACCTGTAGACAAAATGCTATTAAAAAGACATTTCAATAAATCAATACAATGATGGGGTGCATTTAAAAAAAATTCAATTGGAATGCCACTGAGTCCTGGTGCTTTTCCATTATGCATTTCTTGAATAGCATTAACTATTTCTTGGTAGGATATTTCTTTATCCAAATAGTCATTGTCCACAGATGAATCAATAAGTCTATCACTGATTGAATCAACAAAATGATTGACAGAAATATAGAAGTGTTCTTCATCGGCTGAACAATAGGAAGACTGAAAAGACATTCTTGAAATGATTCATCCAGTCAAATGGTGAAATATTATTGTTTACAAATGATGATTTCGATTTCACAGTTCCATGAATAATTTACTGTCTTTAGTAGAGAGTGCGTTACTAAGTTTATGTGTGTAATCTGAAAATGATGAAGACAGTTTCACAGCACACAACTGTTTATAGTGTGACACAGACTCAACATAACGTTGTCTATCAGATTTACAGTTACTTGCTTGAAAAGCACGCAGAAGGCGCCGAGCGGTATCACGTGCACTCTTGCATTCACCGTCATACCAGCTGTCTCCCTTTGGAACATTATTTGTCGACAATACACAAGATTTACAGAAACTGGCACATGATTGCATAACCGTATTAAAAAGTAACGAGGCCTCTTGAACATCACCGTTATCAATAAAGGAATGAAACTGGTTTATAACATCGGGTGGTAATACATCCCAGTTGTGCAGGTATTCTAGTAAACAGTCACTGTTCCATCGATATCTAGTTTTAGATGAAAGATTGTGGAAACGTTCATTATTATTCAGTGTCAATGAAAACGAAAATGTTATTGGCAGATGAGTCGACTCAACTTCATCGGACACTTTAAAATCATCAAAAAGTTCAAAAGCATTGTCCGAACAAAGCACATAGTCAACAACACTTTGTCCATTATTGGCAAAACATGTTATGTTACGTTTACCTTTATCATGAAATAGACGGCCATTACATATTCTCAGGTCCAATGTTTTGCAGAAGTTCAATAGGGCATAGCCACGTTTGTTGATCACAGTGTCACGTGATGCACGTGGTTCGATGGCGTCGTCGGTTATATAATCTATGTCATCATCAATCGGGAGATACCTCGGGTCATCATTAACAATATAACCTTTGTAACATCCATTCCCAGTGCGTGCATTCAAATCACCTTGAATTATGATTCTACAATCAGGTTCATTTGATCTGAATTTGTTTACATCATCTTCCAAAAGAGTAAAATAGCTTCATCAGCATGTGCACTGGACCTTTGCAGGAGAACAGTAAACAACACCCATAAATATGGAAAAATGATAAACTGGTACACGCACACGTAACCATAGTATGTTGTTACTTTCCGTCGAGATTAATGACACAAATTCTGAGACAGTGTCGGCGATTAATACAGTTATTCCACCCTGAATTTCTAATGGCGCTGGCATGTTTTTGTCTACACTTCCCAAACACTGTATATCCTTGAAACAATAACTCCTCATTTTCATCTGACCACGTCTCCACGAGAGATATACAGGTGATTTTTTCAGAAAGTTGATGATATGTTCCCGGCAAATTTTCTTCTTTAGACCTTCTACATTCCACAGAACAGCAGTCCAGGACTTAGTTACTGCACGTGGGCCTTGACCACGCCCCTATTTGTTAGAGTCAGTATTCGGAGATCGAAGAGGGAATGTTTTTTTAACAGAACTAATTCATCTTCAGTGTCGTTCAGTCGATAAAGTTTGTTTTCAATTTGGATTTTATCACCTTTAAGAGTAGAGAATTTACCTTCGTTTCTGGCCTCGGTCATGAATCCTTTGAGTTTTTGCCTGGTAGACAATACTTTTTCAGTGAAATCCTGTGAAATGGAGATACCGTGTCCTTTAAAGAAGTTTGGCTGACTGTAAAATCCTTGTCCTGTGTCAGAGGTTGAGGCAGGTAACTAACACCGGTCTGGCACCACGTGACTTCGAAGGAGGGCGAATGACACGGTCAAATTCTCTTATGTCTGTGATACTCATTTTATTCTCTATAACATCGAGAACTTTATTTGTAACGTCATCGTTAGATTCTCCAGATGTCTCTTTGATGTTGTACAGTATTATGTTGTTCTGTCTTGAGTTATTGTCCAGATGGTCAATTTTATTTGTTAAACGTTTCACAGTTGTTTTCAGTTCCTCATTTTCTTCTGTTAGTGTAACCACATCCTGTTCTATTTTTTTATTTTTGGCTGAAAAGTTTTTCAAAATTTTTCTGTGTCTCTCGTCTCATATCCCTAATGTCTTTTAGCGTTTCGGAATCACAAACCTCTCCCTCAATAGTTGTTTGTCTTCGTGGTCCTGGGTTTGACTCAATATCGTTGGAAAGGGACGAGTAGCAACGACAAGAATGCCAATGAAACATACAATCATAATTGCTGTTCATAACGTTGTTGAATAATTTGTATATATATACAACCTACTTTAACCGACCTTGTACACCTGAAACATAGTGTATCGAATATATCTAACACAGAACTGAACCAAAACATATAATGTATTGTCTAGTGTCATGATGATATGAATTGTTTAAATTCCTCAAACCGGTCTTGGGGGTAATAACAGAAGTGTATATAGTTTTAGTTTCCTGATCATGAATCAGTTATTGTCATTCTGATGCAAATACCCCAAGCCCAACAAGATCAGATCCAGATCAGTTGATCACACTGATTGCTAATTACCTAAAATAAACAAGAAGT